TGAAACGAAGTGCTGATTGAAAAAAACCTTCAAAATATATGAAACTTCCTGCAGCTTAACGAAATGATGGCAGAAGATGCTGCTGATAGAAGGGACTGGCGACAAAATGAGGAAGAAGATGAAATTAATCAAATTTTTGCCTAATAGGGGAAAGGGAATGGCGGAAAGAATCAAAACAGGCTATGCTGAAATAGCCTAAAGTGACTGATAAGAAGCAAGACGTCGAAGTCAGAGAGGTCAGACGTTGCTGTGAAAAACCGGATACGTTAGAGTTGCTTAAAATCCTCACTTAATGAAATCTCTCGAAACACACCTCTTCCCTGGACTTGTTGTAGGCAAGCCCCTTATAGCAGGGTAGTGAAAATAGATCCTCAGAGGGTGGATAGGAGAACGATGATGGCGGCCACTACTCTGACGCCTCTTATAGCTGTGGCGAAACCCGTCCCGTTGAAGTGTCCTCACACAAGCTCTACGCCCTCCGCCGAATCCCATGGACGATCGTTGATTTGTTCCGAACCAGGTTTCATCATTACAATTGTCGTCAGCTTCTGCTGATTCGTAGCCACACACAACAATAGAGCCCCGCTGATCTCCCGTTGAGTGTAACGGGTGCACCGCCGTTAATGCCTGATGTTGCCCGCTTCAGATGACGGGATTCTTTTGAGCCTCCAATAATGTAAAGTGATGGAGGGGCAGTTTTTCAACGGAGCGAAATGGCTAAAAACGGAGAGGAACATTTTTTTTTGCTTTTTTGCCCTTTCCCTCCTTCCCGACCATATGAAATACGCTCAAAATATGAAATATTTCTGTTTGTCACATAGAGCATAGACGAAATTTTCATGATCCTCACACTATGATTCACAGAAAAGGCATTAGAACTTCCCTGGTCTCATTTACAGTAAACCATGCTATGTTTATGTTTACCCTTTGAAGGAAACAGTTCGATAAATAAACAGATGTGTGGGAATGAATGGTCGCAACTGAATGGGTGCAATGGTGAGCGTCCTCATGGAATGTTGTAATGTTTCTAATGTCATATATGGGCGTTGCTATATGTTCAAGTCAACTAGAGAGATTCGAGTGCTTCGGCTTGGAACAAGTCCGTGTTGACCACCTGTTGTGAAGAGGCTTCACACCTCATTGGCCAGCTTCTTTTCCTGAAGGCCATCGATATACCTGCTTCTATTTAGCTGCTTTCATCCCTTATTTGTGATCAATTTATTTCATAAATAAGGTTTGCTGACCCAGGCTATCCTGCTTCACTAGACCTGAACCCTAAGCTTTCGGTATCAGCAAAAAGGAGAGATCAGTCGTGAAGTTGCAGGAATATATGTATGCCCATAAACTACTCTGCTGATTAGAGCTGACTCGTTGGGAACCCTTGGTATTTACCCGGATTACGCCTGTATGAGAAAACTCTATTGTCACGCTGGATTACGCCTTACCATGCAAGTACCACGTCCGGACTAGACGATCTAAATTTGTCACTGCTTTCAGCACAGTCCTGCTCCAACCTGCTGATTCTACTGCTTCCTCTATGAAGAGTTGCTGAATACTGTTCTTTATTTGCAGTGAGACTGCAGACCCTGGGGCAGGGTGTTCGAGTGCTGGCTGCTCCACTACCCACAATGTAGCCTTGCTTAGATCATCATTCGGTTCCTTGTGGAACCTAAAATGCACCTCCCATTGGTAAATAAATCCTCACGTGAATCTCCGATTTCTACTCTCTTGTGGAGCAGCGGTTGATTGAATTACTTGAACTAACAATTTTCCTAGAGTCTCGAGTAATTGCGTTGAGTAGAGATCGGCAACTTTTCGAGAGAACAAGGGCTGGAACAAGTTGTTAAGAAAAACACGGGTAGCTGAAGACCCAGCTGGAAATGGCGAACTGTACGGCAAGAGCATTAAGGTCGAGATCTTTTTTTCTTAGAGCTTGTATAATAGAGTTTCGTCGCCGTTTCGATGTAGATATTAGAGGTGTTCTCTCTCGAGAGCAACAGGATTTTGGGGAAAACTGATCTGTCTGTCCTTAAGTAGGTAGCCAATACCCTACCTTACAGAATATGACCGATTTCACCGGTAACCTCTAACATGGTTCGCGCAATGGCCCTTGGAATTCGGCGGCGGAAATTAATGGACACACATAATACATTGTAAGGAAAAAATAATTAAAGTATCAGGGTATCACGATGAATAATCTCGTATACAAAAAGAAGTATTGGAATGAGCTAGTTCTATTGCACAATCAACACAACAGGTACGGGTGTGGTGCGTTAGGAACGAAATGGCCGCGTCGCGGTGAGAGGGGCGTCGCGCGCGAAGGGATGTTGCAGGACGCAGCAGTAGGTAAGAAATACAAGAGCAAAAATGATCGCATATTGAGCTATCTGAAGAACGCTAGAGCTGCAATAACGGCGAATGAGTGGTCCGCGACAGCCGCGTGCGGCGAATCGATTACCCGAAATCGCTCCTAATGCCTGTCTCCCCAACAGCTACAAAGCTTGAGGAGAGGGTACATCGACATTTACTAGAGGCTTGCTTGCAGGAGAAACTGAGTAGAATTGGGATGAGGCATGCCGAGTTCATTTCTCATGTGGGTGAATACAATAATTAGAGAATAAATTTGTGAGACAGTGAGTTGTATCAGGACCAGAAACGTGTCGGACCGAAGCAGCACGTGTACTCCTCGTCATCTTTATAAGTCTACGCGCGGAAAAACAGCTCAAACTTTCCACGACCCAAACATGATCATCTACAATTTGCAAGGTGATACGCCAGGCATCGTGTGCGGTGTGATATAATTTCTTGACGATGGAACCGAGCTTTGGTGATTGATCATCTCACTTCTATACGGTATTCTCGGAGAACAGCCTCAAGCGTCTTCGATGGAAAAGCGTCGAAGGTCACGCGCCACGCTCAACGTTCGTAGACCACGTCAGCGTCCGTGCCGCCACTGACTGCTTTGAAGACGAGTACTTTCCGGACAGAGTTGCATAAAGCAGGCCGTTTGTCGCTTCAATCTGTTAGTCAAAGTGGAAATATTGATTCTATATAAATGAAAAAAGGTGTGAAATAGTATGCACAACATCTAAAAAATTCAGCTAAAAAAACACCGAACACCGGCTCGTGCGGTATCAGTCGACGACCGTCCCGCGACCGTCATCTTTTGGCGCTTTACTTTGGAAGGTACCACACACGAGGCATTTTCCATTCGGCGCGTATACGCGCAAATTCACATATCGAGCCCTTTTCACTTTATCCACATAGCTTTTCAATTTTATGATTAGCGTAGTATATGACTTGATTTCTTGTATAGAAACACTTCCTTCAACTCGATGTTGTTCCAGGATTGGTTTGCACACTTCTCTTCTAAACGAGTTTTCCTGCTCTTAGCATTAGTACGAGGATGAAGATCGTCTATATGATAGTCTAGTACCTTCTGCCTCTTTTTATGGGTGTCTAGAAAAACGGGGGGGGNGGGGGGGTGGGGTGTATGACTTCATGCAAACGGGTATGAATGACTTCTCGAAAATCACGAAAACGCATCCATACCTGCATGCATAAAGCGGCTATACAAATCCTCTTTTGTGCTTATCTATTGCAGTCACCTGCCGTCTGCTGTCCTCACGTCCAGTCCTTAGTTAATCGGGCCAGTGTTTCGTTTACTTTTAATGTGGTTCCAATACTATTCTAATCAATGTTATCACAGACACTTACCCTTTCACACCACTCAAAGCAAAGACAAGTGTCATTAATACTGAACTGAACATACTGAACATCATACTTCGTTAATCATACTGAACATCATACGGTTCATACGGTTTATATAGGCGCATTACTTATTACTCTTCTTCACCTTCTTTTACTACCCCTGATTCTTGCCTCTTTGTATCCCCTACCTAATTCGCGGCGTTCCCCGCACGTGTAATCCTACATTGATTGTATTATATATTTTTAGCTTTTTCAAACCTCTTTCTTGCAATATTTTTTCCTGCTCAAAATTTTCAATCTTTCGCACCTGAAAATCTTCGAGTAGGACGGGATTCCCTATACACATCTCCGTGGCGATAGTTTTGTTCTGAATCCATGCAGCATCTTCTCGGTTTCCTCCATCCATCCTCCACCAAGGTTTCTTACGTGGAAATGCTTTGCAAAACTGCTGCTCCGGCAACAAGAAACGTTCCTGATTTCTACGAAAACACACGTATGGTAATGTCCTACGAGCCTTTCATCCCTCCGGGGTCGCTTCATTGGTACGTCGGTCGTCTGTCTGGAAGGATAAAAGCCTTGACTTGCACAACGCCTGGCTACCATTGTATAGGCCACACACGCATTCATTACGCCACTACGATTGTGAGTGAAACTCGAATGCGGGGCGCATCCCTCAGAAGGGATTGATTAACGCTCACAGACTTTATCCTTCAGGATCTCTAAATATACGAAAAACTCGCTGTGAAACATTGCCTGGAATCAGTGGCGGCTCGACTATCTCTTGTCCCCTTATGCTTACGATTACAATTAGGATCATCATAATTATGCTTTCAATTCATAGCCCAATCATTCAAAACTGTGGTTTTATCAGATAGAATGAAGAAAACGATTGAAGCTTCAAAAAATTCCCTGGAACAATCACTGCACGAACAACGTTTCCATAATCGGCAGGACTCTAAAAAAATCGTTTGCTCGAAGTTAATGATTTTTTATAACAGATGAAGCTCATGTTTCAGAAGGCGGAGAAGCTACTCTCGGGCCATGGTAAATGTCCTGTCCATATGATGCCTTCACTGAGTTGTTATCCCCATACATTTGTATTTCCGCTCGAAAGCTTCGTTTCTGAAGAAATTTGCATTTTCGACTGCAAGCTTCTTCGAACAGGCTTATCGCTTTTGTTAGGAAATTTGCATTTCTTCTGAAAGCATTGAAGAAACTTCCATCTTGATTCGTTGATTCGAATCGATTTGAAAACTATTTCACATGCTCATACAGTGAAGAGCGCTGCTATGAGAGAGACACGCTTAAAAAGCTATAGAAGTCATGTCTTCGAACACATGGCTTGTTTGAGAATTCTTCTGCTTCCCGCACTCAGTGCTGCCTTCGGTACAGCTCCTCAGACGAGAATTCGCCTTGGAAAAATCAGCAAATCTGAGAATCGCGTTCAAAACAAGGAATGCCTCGATACAGGTACTGCTTTTGTCATAATTCTCAATTTCTCTTTTAAAAAAATTCAGGTGGGCCCTTCGAAATAACATTTTTCGTATAAAGGTTGAATGATAAAGTTTTTGGCGTTAATCAATCCCGTATGAGGGATGCGCCGCCGCACTCGACTTCCATTCAAAATCGTAGTGGCGTAATGAGCGCGTATGTGGCCTATACAATGACTTGCGGTGGCCAGCCGATGTACAAGTCAGTGCTTTTATCCTCCCAGACGAGTCTGGGACCAATTAACCGACCCCGGAGGGATGGAAGGTTGGTTGGCCTAGGCGCGTATCGATACGGGATTCGAACCCATGACCGTGCGTGTGATATAGTGTGCCACTTGCCACTACACCACCTCCGCCCAACATTTTTCGTATAGAGCATTTAATTACTAAATGCCTTAAGGAAATAAGCCAACTCCCAATTGGACTAGTAATCTGAGCACGCACGCGTAAGCAATCTCATCCAAATGGACTGGAAATTGAGTTTTAGGGCTTTGTCTTGTATTCTGATGAAGTACTTAGAATTGTAGCGTGCACTTGCGTATGCTCCTGAGTAAGTCCTTTCACTATGGGTGAAGAAAAGCAGCGATAATGAAGTGCGGCTCTGTATCAAACTTTTTTCGCGAAATCTGATTGCTTTTGCTGAAACCATGACGAGAGCTGGCAGCTAAAAATTGCCTGCGAACATGATCACCAAATTCGCTTTTTGTATAAATTCGTTTTTTATCACCAATTACTGGTTGTAAGTTTACCGGTTCCGAATGACTTTTTCGTGTAGGACAAAAAACGATGAATCCTACTCAAGTTCAAGCCGGACACATGAAGCACGCTGTGATGATCGACATCAACAATGGTAAGTGACTTCAATAATACTCATTGGGTGCCAATGTCACTTTAAAACATCAACGAAAATCGTTTCCTGGAAGAAAAATCATGAAGGACCAGCGCTTTTTTCCGCATATAACTACAGCCCACATTCGTGGACTTCATAGTTCAACGCGACCACTTCTTGGAGTCCTTTTGCGAGTTTTTAATTTTCTGACTGTAGCATTTGGTGGTCCTTCAGTCATGAGTTCCATCATGTTCAGAAATCATTTTGAAGAGCTTTTACGGGCTTTGCATCTAGTCGACAACAGTGAAGATGCCAATAGCGACAGATTTTGAAATAATATTTCATTTTTCGAACTTTGAACAATGCATGAAGTACATTAAGGTCGACATAAACATATACATCGATAAGTCACTCGTTTTTTCAGAGAAAGATCTAATTCTGAGCAGTATATTCCTTGAAAGAGGCACAGGTATGGTATCGAACCTGAAATTCTAAAATTAAAAGATTTTTATGGACCGCGCAGTACACAGCTTCACTTAGGTTTGACTTAATGATTCGAGAAAAAAAAACAAATAAAGGAAATACAACTCAATAAATTTAAAAAAAAACAGCTGTGGTGCATATGTGGACTGCATGGTGCCACGCGGTCCTCAGCTCAATCCTACACCTTTGTACTTAACGTACAAAGGGTCATTCTGTGAAATCTGCAAGATAAAAAAAANAAAAAAAAAAAACCTGGCGTGACTAAAGAACAACAGGTTAGGATGACCTGAGCAAACAATCGTTGTTGAGAGCGCTAATATACATTCTTACGTCATATGTCCCCATCGGGAAGATGGTGGTGGAAGAAATTGGAAATCATTTCGATTCAGCGGAAAGGTGGTATTCTCACTGCAGCGTCATTTAGCGCATGTCCATTATGTGGGACACAGCTGCATCGCTAAGTTATCGAACAAAACAAATGAAGAATTCCAAGAATACAAGTTGTCGAGGTGATGGCAGTCCACCGGTTGAAATAAAAACGAAGTAAATGTGTTAAAGCCACTATGAAGTACTTGTTCGCAATGGATCTGTTTTCAGGTGCAGGTAGGTGCTCGGGTGTGCTCATCAGCAGAATGCACGTACTAACAGCCGCTCACTGCTTTGTCAAGGAGGAAGAGTGTCATCTGGGAGTTACATCGTTAAAGTATACCCGAATGAATTCTTTTGAATTGTTCGTCGAGCATTCAAGGAGTTCGCTTTCCAGAACAGCCACCTTTGCTTCCTTCCAAAAAATGCCAGTGAGGGTGTTTGTTGGTGGAGCTTGTGCATTATTGGAAAGTCCAGGTACTTGTGGAGGAAATGTTATGAGCAAAACAAATGCGGTTCATGTGAGTGGCTCTTCAGCTTCTCTCCAGATAGTAAACTGAAGTCACCACTTTCGTTTTGAGATTGGAGTTCCACGCCGTTATTTCGGGTCACGGTGTCGATCCGGTGACATCGCTATCGTCCAGTTGGCTGAGCGGCTGCCGATCCGAGACGAAATTGATTTTGCTTGTCTACCTAAACGTACTATGAAACTACACCACACAACAGAGATGGCTGGATTTGGATATGACCGTAAGAGAACTATGCATAGCGAAGAATCACCTTTTGCTGCCATACCAGAAAACTTAGTTCCCGCACAATCGGCTATTGGCGCTAAATCTTTCGTTTTCTATCCGTCGCATTGCCATAATTTTTGTAGTATAATCTAACCAAACAACTTCGAATAGGAACATGACTGATTTGGGGGACTTCGAATTCATTCTTATTCGGTTTTTCGAAAAAGGCTTCACGCATCCAATTCCTCAATGCCAGAAGCGACATGAGCCAACACAGCATTGTGACAGATTGTGAACTATCGCTTTTTGATTCTCAAATCAGAAAATTTAATACCAGAGTTCTCGGTAGGTCATTAAGCCCTGCTGTCTTCCATAACTCTCCAGATACAGTCACACCTTGCATGAAGGAATTCGAGAAGGCGCTGAAACGCCGTAGGGGATGAGTAGTGTAATCAGGACAGAAGTAGTTTAGAAAAGGAGCGAGTGAGACAAACAGGAGTACCTTCATCGATTTCCCCTAGCACTGACTACCAATGGGCGAAAGTGCGGTTTCTCTGAATAACCTTTCATTTTATTGGGATCAGTTGATAGGAGCAAGGACATTTAGGAACCTCATTCATTATCCGAACGTGCAATTCCTAAGATCTAAAAAGTGACCAAAACGGTTCTGAATTGTATGCGATTGTGTTGAACTTGCCCTCTCAATACGAGTCGAAGACTACTGCAAAATATTTTTACAAACGCGTCTAGAGCTTCTTCTATAGGATTCAGTGAACCAAGGAAATGCCGATTCGCATGGGTTCAGAAGAGCTTCTCCGGCACGAATTTTTCTGATGGGAAGGGGAAGGGGGATATGAACTTCAATGCTTGAAGATTTCTTTGCTGACGTATCACTTTCAGCAAGCAACGCTGGAGCTGACGTGGTGCACATGAAGATAATCACCCTAACAAGAGAGCGATTCTGTGATCCGGGAACACATGCTGGGAAAGACGTGTTCTGCATGCATGAGGATGGGCAACTCGCTTGTAAGGTGCACAATTCTTCACAACTACCATTATTTCGTAATGACAACGTCAACATTCAGGGCGACAGCGGAGGCGGGGTGATACAGAAGGAAGACTCAAAGCCTTTTGTAATGGGAGTACTTTCGAAAGGATTGAATTGTAATGATGTGTTAATGGAGATTAATCGTAACCTTCGAAAGCACATGAGCGGTACGAATTTCACGATTTACAGACCAGTGTATGAAATATCTGAGGTGGGATGGGGCAGTTTGGTTAGTAAATCTTCAGCAGCCCCTGCACAAGCATTGACTAGTCAGACGTGTGCTCGTATAAAACTGGTGGGAACACAATGATCAAGTCCAAAGATCCACGTTTCAGGTCATGAAGATTTCCGAGGAACTGTGATAACGGATGTGCGAAAATACCTGGACTGGATCTGTTTTCACAGTGGCGTTTGTGAAAGGCACATCCTTCGGAAAAGAATGAAAATAACTAAAATTGTAATGATCTATTGAGATAATCACATTGCAAAAATTCGATAGATTACTATAAACCTTGGGTTCTTGTCAGTGATAACCAGCAAAATCTGATCGTCCACCGAAGTTGTGAAACTTTTGTGATTTTCTAAGATTGCCTGAATCGAGACGTAGAATGGCATGCTCGATACTGCAGAGGTGACGATTTTCACGGTATCACCCCTGTTGGCTCTGAGCATGCCATTCTACGTCTCGATTATCGGGGATGTTTACATAATGAGGATCTGTTCTCATGTTATTTCTTCTTATTCCTCGCTCTTCTCTCCGATTCATCCTCAAGCCTAAAACCTGGAACAACAGAGTTAAGAAAAACAAATATTACACAGGTATTCACTAATACTATACATATACATATAACGCGATCAGTGTACTTGTTGGTTTGACTTGATGACTACTTACAAATAAAAGTTAGATGACCGAGGTCATAGCATGATGCCAAGCACATGACTGCTTTCCCGCGTTTCTGGCGAATCGTGCCGTTTTGCAGTAGGACCGAATGTAGCTGAATATGGAGCGCGTTATTCTCCCGCCACAGGCTCTGAACTCAGAGGAAGGTCGTGCGCGAGTCACAGCAGCTTAGAACACAAGGTTTTGAGCAGACAGTCTCGCAATTTCATCGCATTTGTTGTTTCCGGCAGCGTACAACTTACACTGGTTGACTTGTCTTGCTTAAGTAGTAGCTCGTATTCGAGCTGACAACAAACGTGATTCTATCATCAGTTCCGCCCATCCGACCACCTTCGAGCCTAGTCCTAAGTCATACGCGTTTTGGGACGCGGCGATTCGGTTTTTCTTTCAGGCTTCCGAAAGGCCTAAATACCGTCGATACCGTGCAGCCTACAGGCACGAGGACGACGCCGCATTAGAATGCCTCTTGTCCTTGGATACTCCCTTCAAAGACAACACGCTACAATAAACCGTATGTTGCAACTGCTGCAGTCTAAACTAAGTAATATGAGTAATATAGTTGAAGAAGAACCTGCTCACTAGAGCAAATTATGATCCAGCGACACCCGCGCAGACCCCGACATCCAATGGATGATCATCAATCGATCCGGGGTCGACATAGTGCTCATCGTTTGAACTTCGAATTCTGACCCTAAGGTGGGAGTGGTATAAAATGCAGCGATCTCCGGGCTCACTTTTTGGCATTGATTTTCTTTTTTTTGTGTTTTCGTTGTTTATCACATGTAATTCCACACATATCTTTTTTGTTACAATTTCGGTTACGCTTTAAGTACTCGCTTTGGATTAAAGTCTTACTGAACAACAGTGCCTTTTGGACAATATATTCTACGCATATCGTGTTCGGAGGAAACCATCTGATATTCGTATCTGTGTGTGGCAACTTTACATAGTAATTTTCCAATAACATTTGTATGCACTCCCTGGAAGACGAATCATTAGCATTCGGCTGGCGATGAGAAGCTCGTGTACCGTCGACTTCCAAGTCAACTCCTTAGCCAGAACCCATCTGTCTGGCAGCAATAGGCAAAGACGATTGAAGATCGCATTTTTGCAGGTATAAGAAGTTGAAGAATAGGTCCTTGATGATCAACGTGTTTATTGCATACCTCATCAGACGGTTTTCTTTCACTACAAAAATCCGCGTAGTCTTCAGTGCTTGCTCAAAGCGTACGAGCGCGTGCAGTATTAATGACTGCTTCATGTTACAAAAATTCATCACGCCTATAAACGTTTTAAATCGCAGTGAAAAGGATAAACGTGCAGAAGAAATGTGGTCGAATCTTCATGGTGGGTAGGATTCTCACGAGGGGTGTAATGGCAAACAGAAAAATTCATCACGCCTACAAATGTTTTAAATCGCAGTGAAAAGGATAAAGGTGCAGAAGAAATGTGGACGAATCTTTGTGGTGGGTAGGGTTTACGCAAGGGGAGTAATGGCATCAAGATACATCGATCTTTCCTGATCTAATGGGACGCACGCCTGCAGCAGTTTTTTCGCATAGCGGAGTTCAAAGAGTATGTTATCAAATTCGGCTAAAACATTCGCAACGCGATGCTACTCACTCCCTATGGCCAAGAAATTTGTCGAAGCCGCCGTCATCACCTGCGTATTTTGCATTTTACTCGCGTGGCTAGATTCAACGTCTCTCGTGTTTTGCTGATATCATCAAGTTGCACGTTCAACGATCTCTCTCATCTGACATTCGCTGCGTTTTGCGAAGGAGCAATTTAGTGAGCGTAGTGCGTTGGCGCGAAAAAAAAATGGCACAGCGACAGAGACAAGCCGTGAAGCCACGCCATTTGAATATCGATCGTTTAAGTAGATCGTCTTGGTTGCGTTTTTTGCCTGTTTCCATTTGGGTGAATGACCCATAGTGGGACAACTACATATATTTTTTATAAATATCGACATGGCCACTACCACGTAATCCACGCTAAGCCTCTTCAGTCAGGTGACCTCTTTCCTTACAATTTAGTAGTTGTGTGCAGTGACGTGTTTCAGTGACATGTATTATTATATTATTATATGTATTCGCCACGTATTACTTTACAATAGATAGTAGAGAAAGAACATTATCAGAGCATTATTGGATAGGTAGGCGCCGAGTATAGTTATGTCGAAATTAAGGCGATGCAGGGACATATTCCCATAAAGGCGTTGTTTAGTGGCAGTAAGTAAACATGCGCTTAGCTGGGACAATTTTTTTGGTCTGACGTCCGCAGTACCATGACTTTCTCACGACTTCTCAAAGGACCAGCCTGGGGGGCGCGCACTCTGGTCTAAGCAACAACAGGGAGTTTACGTCTACCGTCTAGTTCGATCTCCACTGTTCGGCTGTCCCACCGTCGATCGTAGCGGAGTTCGTTTGTGCGATCCAAGCCAGGTCTCTCTCCTTGAGTCATGACGCTCTGGGTTCGACGCGATCCGTAGGTCGCTTAATTGCCATGATAGTATATTTAGTTGTTATTTTGAATTAGTATTTTTGTCAATTCTAGTGTAGGTATGTAGGGCTAGTATGTATATTTTGTTGTGTATGCAAGATAGTACTTCATCGTCTGTTCTCCCCACGGACGATTAGCTTCCCCTGCCAACGATTACTTCACCTTCAAATTCATCCCGTGTCCAAGTCTTAGTGAAGACAGCCACTTCCAATATTCGAGGACTATGCTCCCGACATCGCTTACAGTTTTTGGAGCCATCGTCGAAGACGTGAGATTTATTCTACTTCGTTGAAACTCGATGTCATTTGTAACTCCCACTCCGTCGTATGAATGTTAAAAGAGGGCTTAGTCGAAATTGTCGGAAGATCGCATCAAGAAGTGACGTGTGAAGTGCCAGATGATTGGACTAATCGGCAAAGTATCTAATGGGACTATACGGGAAAAGACGGAGCCCAGAGACGTCGCTAGAAGATGAAAGTGGATGCCTGCCTGTAAATTGATGACAAGAGACTATACACGATGAGAGGCCAGTTTGATGAACTAGAAGCTCTATAGAAGCAGACCAATCAGACGACCGAGATTACGATCGACCGAGATGATGGGAAGACTTTTGCAGGTGTGGACTGGAAGAGGAAGACGGCAACTCGGATTCAGAGCATGGCCCTCATTTCTATGCTAATGTCAGATGAATAGCGGAAATAAATGAGTGAATAAAAGGCAATACTAAACAACACCGGCATTTTAGAGTAGATTGGTATAGGAAGAACCACGAAGCTGAAATAAGCTACTTTCACAGTTTTTGAACAATCATTTTTCGAACAGTCTCATGAACATGCTACTATGAACAAGAAGTAGTTTGCAAAGAGTTCTCTGTTATTATAAAGGCAACAAGGCAACAATTCTGCATACCGAAATTTCATANTAGGTTTATATGAATAGAACGAACATACAGTTACGATCAGTAATCAAATGCGAAAAGTTAAAGCTAATCTAAAAAAGTGTAGTAGTACATTACAGGTAAGTTAATTGATTACAAAACGTTATCAAAGTACACTGCTTCCAAAATCGCTAGCTGTTCAGACAGATGTTAATTGACGTGCACCATCATTTCCTGTAAGTGGCAAGTTGAGCACGTGATCATGATAGCAACATTTATATTTTGGTAATATAATTAAGTTAATACTTCCAACGCTTCACTCCACACGTGGCTGAAGTCTTTCAGAGGTTTGGTCCTGTTGACTAACACTTCCGCAGTAGGTCGATATGAACTGAGTCTGCTCCAGACTACGCTGTTGAAACTATCAAAAGTGAGCTGAAATACGGCCTTCCTAACCAGCTTGCAGTCAAGTATAGAATCGGAGACGTAGAACTCCTGCTGTTGTGACGACCTGACGAGGAAGAGATAAAACGTACGGAGGGATTTCCGACTTATACATCTTGTTTTCGAGAGCTCATATAAGATCTTCCTGTGGCATTTAGAATGTCTGTATCATGGTTGTCGTTTGCATTCACTAGGGGTTCCCTTTCATCAGATCTACTACCTAGATGCACTCCTTCACCTCTTTGATCTTTGCACAACTATATTATTCCCAGATCTCTTCAACATCATGGCTATGTTTGGCCAGGTGGCAGACAACGGCATATTTCTTCCCGAGAACATAATGTACTTTAGCATTTTCCAGCTATCTCTCAACTATCTGCCCTGATCTGCATATAAGAGAATGTCCGAGGACTGCTCTGAGGAAAGGTGCATATGAGATAACAAATGCATCGTGCTTAGAGACGGGGAGCGGTTCAAGGCCTCCAATTATTCTTATTTCGCTGGTTCAGCGTAATTACTGATACTGCATAAAATTCAAATACAATGGCCTATACAATGACATTCGTTCCGGATTTGATCAATGGACCAAACGAGCGCTTCTTTTCATCACACTACCTCCGTCATGGTAAGGAAGGTGTAAAGGTAATGCTTATCACAAAGATCTCACCCAGGGAAACCATCGCGAGAGGTGCTGGTAAGGATTAATTGGTTGCATTGAACTGGCTTTACCAGCCTTTGCCTGCTATCG